AAAAATATATCAAAATGCGTGTGGGTACTCAAATGAAAGCTCTTGATGAGCATAGCATCGAGATGAGCTTATATCTTTAAAAACGTCAATAGTTAAGAAAGTACAGTGCAATTTAATATAATTAAGAAATGACCTTGTATCTTGTAAATTATTGACATTTTTAAAGATATAAGCTCATCCCGATGTTACACTTTTCGAGACCTTTCATTTGAGTACCCACATATATTTTTCATATATTTATATATATTATATATATGTATATATAAAAAATATATCAAAAAGGCAAGTAGGTACTCAAATGAAAAGTCTCAATGAGTGTAACATCGGGATGAGCTTATATCTTTAAAAATGTCAATAGTTCCCAAAATACAAGGTTATGTCTTAATTATTGATATTTTTAAAGATATAAGCTCATCTCAATGTTACACTCATCAAGAGCTTTCATTTGAGTACCTACTTGCATTTTTGATATATTTTTCATATATACATATATATAAAATATATAAATATATAAAATATATGAAAAATTGATGTGGGTACTCAAATGAAAGGTCTCGATGAGTGTAATTTTGGGATGAGCTTATATCTTTAAAAATGTCAATATTTCACAAGATACATGGCCATTTCTTAATTATGTATCTAGAGATACAACCTAAATACTAATCATACTAAATTTACTATCCAGAATGATAACCTTGAAAAGGCACAAATTCACGACCTTTGCAATGACTAAAAAAACCGATTTTATCATATGAATATCCTCGACACAAAATTTTTCTTATTCTCTTAATAATATAAATTTAAAATTTTCCTTAAAAAAAAAAAAAAAAAAAAACACAAAATCCTTTAAAAAAAACCCATTATCCCCAACAAAGAAAATTCCATTCTCCTAAAACCGAAAAAAATGATCTTCGCCACCAAACTCTTTATATACACATCTACAGATACATACTATCCACATAAACCCCATAACTGCTAAGGAATTTACTACCTGTGATCGTTTTTCCCACTTTAATGTTTTTTTACGTCCCTATTCTCCAGCGAATACTGTTAGGTGTATGATTAACCCTTTCAACCCTTTTCTACCTGAAAAATATCAGATCTTCTATTTAATTTTATTGAGAAAGGGTGATGGAAGACTAGACATACAATACTAAAATTTGAGCTGCAGGTTAAAGATTTAACCGATTTAGTGTGTTATTATTATTATTATTTGTAAGGTTCGCTATTGTCGGCATTGTGTCAAAAGGGTTGACAATACAACTTGTTATTATTTTTGTAAATAAGGCACTGATATATATTTATATGTATCACTTACAATTATAATTATTGTTATAATTTTTTTCGGGGTTATGGAAAATTTTACCGGACCTAGATACAGACAGACAAATGACCTAGTTCAAGAGCCAAATTTTAGACAATACTGTCTGGACAGAGTTGTAAATCAAAAGGATTTTTTTTTCTGTAAGTCGAGTGTTTAATTGTAAGTGTAATTATTCCTAAGCTACTTTGTTAGTGAGTTATTGCCAATAGGGCTTATTTGGAATTTTAGGAAGTAGGACAATAAGAGTAGACCAATCTTATTCTTATCAGTAATTTTCTAAAAGGATTTGCATGATTTTATCAGTAGATACTCTTTCAGGTGCTTAAGAGGTAATTGAATATTTAATCCTATTCTTTAATTTGACCTTAAGGGGAGTTTTGTTTTGCCTTATTAGAAAAAGTGTTTTGAATTTTCGATTTTATAAACATGTTTTTGTTTTATTTTGAGTATAAATTTTTAATATTTAAAATTTTTATTAATTATTTTGAGATTGGAAAATTTTTTATTTACTAAGCCAAATTTTTAAAGTTTATAAAAATTTTAAGTTTAAAATTTGAATAATTATTTTTATAATTAATTTGAGATTCAAAATTTTTTATAATGTAAATATTAATAAGTATAATAGGCAGAATGTAAGGAAAAGTAGGCTTAGATGTCGCCACCGGTCAATATTATGACTTAAAAAATCTTATTCAGCATTTTTTTCGTAAATAATAGAGTAAGTTTATCTTATTTTTAATTTTTTTATAAAGTCATTATTATAAATCTATTTGTATTAAAATTTTATCGAGAATTAGGATTAATTTTTTTAAATATAAATCATTTTATAAAGAATTTTTGTGGAGAATTTTCAATAGAGCAGTTTAAAAATTTTTTATTAAATTTATCAGTCAATTTTAATACAATTTTTATGGGTTATTTTTAGATTTTTAATAAAGTTTTTTTTTTATCGCTAATTTTGTTCAGAATTTCCATGAGGTATTTTTAATAAAATTTTTATGGGGAATTTTGAGATTTTCTTTTTAAAAATTTTATTTTATGGGTCATTTTTAATAAAATTTCTATAAGGTATTTTTAATGAAATTTTTATGGGGTATTTTGAGATTTTCATTTTAAAAATTTTATTTTTATGGGGCATTTTGAAAAAAATTTTTTTTATCTTAAATTATTTTTCAATCGATGATTTCATTAAAAAATTTCTGTGGGGCATTTTTAATGAAATTTTCATGGGACATTTTGAGATTTTCTTTTTAAAAATTTTGTTTTTATGGGTCATTTTTAATAAAATTTTTATGGGGCATTTTTAATGAAATTTTTATGGGGCATTTTGAAATTTTTTATCAAATATTTCTGCCAAATATCAACTAAAACTCTTAAGATACTTTTTTATTACTTTGTTAAATTTTTCTCTATGGGGCATTTTGAATAAAATTTTTATGGGGCATTTTAAAAAATTTATTTTTTTCTTAAATTACTTTTCAATCGTTAATTTCATTAAAAAATTTTTATGGGGCATTTTGAAATTTTTTATTAAAAATTTCTGCCAAATTCTAACTAAAATTTTTAAGATGCTTTTTTATTACGTTGTTAAATTTTCCTTTATGGGGCATTTTGAAGCCTCTAAAAATAATCCGCCAACTTAAAAAACTGACTGATTACATAACAAAAGCACAAAAACAAAGCCTGACAAGTTCAGTAGCCTGAAACCCCCCTTAAACGAAAACAAGAGCGTGTTTCTCCCCACCGAAGCCAACAGGTTGCTCCCACCACAATAGTAACCATGATCGAGGTTCCCCCACCTTCCACCCACGCATGTAATTCACCCCTCGGTAACTTTCACCCTCAAAAAACTACCCAACTAAATACGCAGCGCTCCTACTTTACGTAACACATTACCGGGAAAGTTTGCGTCTGCGCGCGATCCTTCGCGCGCGTAGCCGCTATTGGCCCTTGGCGGCATAGAGGGGGCTCGTCGTCACACACAATAGAAGTGAATAAGGAGCAGAACTCGTAGTATAGCCGCATTAGATATTATAGAGCAGAATTGAACATAGAACCCCCGAAAAATCTCGAGAGAGGGGATGCCGTACTTTAGTAGTTTTAAACCCGCTTATTGTTAGTCAGTTAGGCTAGGTCAGCCCGAGTTAGCATGTTCGTAGTTATTGTTGCTCTGATTTTCGTCGCCAGGACATCGGGTTGATTTTTTTTCTTTAGTCTTACTGTTCAATTGAAACACCGGTGACATAACGAGAGCCCACGCCGAATTTTTGGAATTATTTTGTTGCTTCAGGGCTTAATTTTTTATTTTGATTATTGTTACTGTGTGTGGATTTGTTGCTGTCAGTGGTTGATTTTTTTTTTTTTTTGAAATAGTGAAAAATTTTATTATTAATTGCACTGAGAAGTTTTATTGTGGATGGAGTTTATGTGGCTTTATCACCACGGATGAAAAGATGGCACTTTCGTTTTTACAAGAAGCAGGACTTAAATCAGGTAATTTTTAATTATTTATTTTGAAAAATTATCGGGAGAATTTTATTTATTTTTATTGCAGAATTTTGTGAATTTTTGATGAGAAATTTTTAAAAATTAAAATTTAAAAAAATTTTATGGGGAATTTTGAAGAATTTTTAAAATTTAATTGAAATTAATTATAAAGAAAATTAAAATAAATTTATGAGGCATTTCGTAAGATTTTTATGAGGAATTTTGAGAAATTTAAAAAAAAAATTTAAGTAAATTTTATGGGGAATTTTTAAAAATTTTTATGGGGCATTTTGTAAGATTTTTGTGAGAAATTTTTAAAAATTAAGATTAACAATATTTAAAAAATTTTATGTGGAATTTTTAAAAAATTTTTATGGGGCATTTTGTGAGATTCTTATGAGGAATTTTTAAAAATTAAGATTAAAAATATTGAAAAATTTTATGGGGAATTTTGAAAAAATTTTTAAAATTAAATTGAAAGGAATTATAAAGAAAATTAAAATAAATTTATGAATAATTTTTAAATGAAAAAAATATTAAAATTAAGCGAAAAAAAAAATTAATTGAAAACAATACAATGACTTAAGTTCGAAAAAATTAAAATTAAATAAAATTAGAAGGTAATTTAAGAAAAAAATTAAGCCAAATTTGAGATAATTCAGTGATCTAAGAGAACAAAAAGCTTGTAATTTTTAGTTTAAACATTGACAAGGTTATTATGATTGAAAATTTTGTAAATATTGGAAATATATCAATATTATAAAGAAAAATGTGAATAAAGACTGAAAAAATGTCCGTATTTGATTGATCGGAATGAAAATGTTGAAAAACAAGATACATTGAGAAGCTTCTGACAAATATATATGTTGAAAGAGGTTTTTAAAGTCTGGAATCTTGTTAAATTTTATAACTCGTTGATTTATCACTTCTGAGAATTTATTTGTACGGAAATGAATAAAGAAAAACTTATATACATTTTAACGTTTTCTTAAAAATTCTGGGTTAATGTAAATATTTAGAGGATTACTCTACCGGAAAGCTGGATGTTGACGGATCAAGGAATTATTAGGAAGTATTACGGCGAAAAAGTTATTGGGAAAGTTAAGTAGTTTTCGAATGTTGATGTTTGGATAAGAAAAATATTTAAAATTAATTACACTGTGTAAATTTATTTACAATCTTTTCGTGTAATTTCTTTTTATTTTGTCAAATTAAATTTAACAGAACAATTCAACTTATTTTTTCTTAATTTCGATTTTCGGATACCTAAATTACTTACTAAATTGTCTCAAGTTTTCCTTCTAAAATTTTATTTAATTTTCACTTTTTTCAACTTAAATCACTATACTGTCTTTAATTAATATTTTTTGACTTTTCTTTTATTTAAATCACTTAATTATTTTAAATATAACTTATTTTTCTTCTATTTCAATTTTTTTTTCCCTAAAATTCCCAAATAATCTTAAATTTGCGTTTTAATTTAATTAAATTTCAATTTTTTCAACCAAAAATCACTATATTGTCTTCAATTAATATTTTTTGACTTAATTTTGACTTTTTCAAAATATTAAACCACTAAATTATATAAAATTCAATTTATTTTAATTTTTCTTCCCTTAAATTCCCAAATAATCTTAAATTTCTTTTTTTTTTCAACAAAAATAACTCTATTGTCTTTAATTAATATTTTTTGACTTAATTTTGAGTATTTTTCTTTTAAATTACTTTTTTTCCCTTAATTATCTCAAAGTAGACTAATTTTAACTTAATCCTTTTTTATTTTATCCTCCAATCGGTAAATAATCAAAATTTCAATACTTTCCGATTAAATCTTAACCTTTTTCAACTTAAACCACTAAATGTTTTTTAATTAGATTTAATCCCAAATTTTACCATCTAATTAATCCAAAAATTCTAAAATTTTGACCTTTCTAATTAAAAATTCCCTTAACCAATTTCACCTAAATTCACATCAATCAGCTTCTAAAAAATAAATTAAAATAAAAAAATATTCAATATTAATTCCAACAGAAAATTTTAACAAACAAGTTAATTATTAAAAAAGTTCTAATGAGTTTTTTAATACAATTTAAATAGCTCAAAGTACCCGCAAAGTATTGAAACAGATAACTTAGTGACTAACTAAGTCACAAATAGTTAATTACAATTTATTTAATGTTAATTACGATCTATTCTAAACTTTTTATTCCCGATTATTATCAATTGATAATTATAATTATAATTATTTATCTTGATCTTTAAATAGAACATAAATTTGATTATTAAAATATTTCATGATAATAATTATTAATTAATGGTAAAATTTAATATTGTTAATGACTAACCAATAAATCAAAACGATAAAAAGGTTTTAAAAAATTATCAGTTATATAGTTAATATACATTATTCGGCTCTAAGTACGCTGTACTTACTTCATTTAATCCTTATCTTCACATTTAATGTTCTGTGATAGTAGCAGGTAATTTTTTTTTTTGTAATTGTAAATGTAGTTAAGGTACGCTGATGATAAAGTATTGATTTGTTTCAATTAATAATTATGATTTGACATGATTTTATTTATTTTAAGTAAATATTTTTGGTTATAATTTAACAATTCAGATCAAGACGATATAACGATTAAAAAAATATTAAATTAATTAAAGACAATAATTATTACAAGATAATTAATTTTTAGAATTTTATTCTGTAAAATTTGTTTTTAAAAAAAATTTAAAATACAAAAATGGAAAATTTATAAAAAAAATTCAATTTTTGACTTTTTTGCATAATAAAAATTAAAATTAAAAAAAAAAATTTTTTTATTATTATAATAATAAAAACACTCAAAATTTTGAAAAAAAAAAATTTTTTTGGGCTGAAAAAAAATAAAATTCTTACAAAAATATTAAATTTTTAATCATTTAGCTTAAAAAAAAAAAAATCATAAATTTTTCTAAAAAAAAAATTAATCAATAATTAAATTAATACCGACTTAAAAATAATAAAAATAAAACATAAATCTCCAATTTACACGCTTTTAAAATTGTCAACTCATATTACATTGTACTAAACTAGTACTTACCAGTTATTAGTAATTTGTACCCTCAACAATTAAATTTACTATTCAAAGAATTGTAATTACTGGTAGAAGGTATTTAATGACTTGAAGGCGGGACTGACCATCAGACAATAAACTCATAAATATTGTATTCAATTTATTTCCTTATTTACCTCATAGAATTTTCCATCTTTTGTTAAATAATTTCCAAAACAATATCTCCAATAGAAAAATACTAAAAATATTCCAATAAATACCTGAAAAATAATTTAAAAATAAAAAGGAAAACCTAATAATCAATAGGAACAAGTTTTCATTTCCTTGACGACACCCTCCTTAAGGATTCTATTTCTTTCCTTATTTTTTTTTTATCTTTTTTCCTTCTTCAGAATCCCTTCGTTTCCAAGAGCAACGTTCAAGCCCGCCCCTTAACGTCTGGTTAACTTTAATTTAGAAATAAAATATTTATTTTCAAAATTTTCCTCAACATAAATTAATTATGAATTTATTAATTAATTTTTTTAATAAAAATTAATTATTAATTTATTAACTAATTATTTTATTATTAACTAATTAACCTTAAATTAAATTAATTTCCAGGTCTGCGTACCGGCCAACTGGACATAAAAGACGAGAAGCACTCACCGCCGTTAAACAACAACACACTAGCCTTATACCCGCACTTGCAAGCTTCGGCTCCACAGTCTATGTCCTTATTTTCCCCGGAACAGATCTTAGCGACGCAAACAGCCGCACTGATGAACACCCGACTGCCGCCAGGCTTGCAAGCCACTTTAGCCGCCGCAGCAAACTCAGCTTTGTACAACCAAAACCAGATGGCCCTGTTTGCAGGTTGGATACCCTCACCATCGCCTCCACAAGCTCCAATTTCCCCAATTCTAAAGCAGTCGTTAAAGCGTACGACTACTAGCCCTACGGAGCCAATAAAGCGGCCGCGCAAGCGCGGGCCCAAGGCCAAGGAGGAGGTGCCAATTCAAGCCCCGCCCAGCCCGCCGAATTCCGTAAGTCCCGAGGCGCCGTCCAAGGACACAGCTCCGCGCGACAAGGTCTTCACCTGCGGAGTCTGCTTAAGATCCTTCGGCTACAAGCACGTGCTCCAGAACCACGAAAGGACCCACACTGGAGAAAAACCCTTCGAGTGCCCGGAGTGCCACAAGCGCTTCACCAGGGACCACCACTTAAAGACCCACATGCGGCTCCACACCGGAGAAAAGCCGTACCACTGCTCCCACTGCGATAGGCAGTTCGTCCAGGTCGCTAACCTCCGCCGCCACCTCAGAGTTCACACCGGTGAGCGGCCGTACGCTTGCGAGCTCTGTTCCGCAAAGTTCAGCGACTCAAATCAGCTTAAGGCTCATTTGTTGATTCATAAAGGGGAAAAACCCTTTGAGTGCGAGCACTGCAATGTTAGATTCCGCCGCAGGCACCATCTTGTTCATCACAAGTGCGGAGTTGCGGCTACTGCGCAGGATTTGATCAGCTCCGCCCACGCTCAATTGGCCAATCAGAGGTTTGGCCTTACGAGGGACAGGGAGTATGTTAGAGAGAGGGAGTCGGTAATCAGTGATGATTTTGAGGATGATTTGGATGAAGATTTGGAAAGGAAGAAAATTGCCGATTTGCCGATTAATTTGTCAGTTCCTATGGAACTTCCGGAACAGACGGAGCCTGAGGATTTGTCCATGAGCACTGGGTCAATGCGTGGGCATTCTAATAGCCACAGTGGAGGGGATTCGCCGCTAAGCAGGAGTCCTAGTAGTGATATTCATGATGATGATGATGATGAGGATATTGATGATTTAAATGGAAGGCTGTTTTTGAGCAAGCAGAATCTTGATGTGTTTAGGCATAGGATTAATCATAGTAAAAGTAGGGTTTAGTTAGTGCTCGGTAACTTTAAGGGGCGACAGTTTTCGACCTGGTGTCAAATTTTGGAAAACGTTAATTGTGTTTTTGGGCGATAGCTTGAAAACTTGGGGGTTCAAAAAAAAAGGACTAAATTGTAGAGAAAATTGCGGAGTAATTTTGGTTATTAAGAAAATTTGAGTTTGAGCGATAGGTTATGAGTTATGAGTTATTGCAAGTTCCAAATTTTTGAATTTGTATATTAGTGGTTTTTTGGGCGGAGCTTAAGAACTAGAAGGAATAGAAAAAAATTATCGAAAAAAAACAAGATGACACTGGATATCATCCCAGATTATACTCAGTGATATCTGTGGTGGAAAAATTTTAGATAGTATTTAAAACAATATTTGACTATCTTAATATCTAAAATACATAATAAATATGTGCGCAAGCGCTAGAAAAAAAACAATCCTGGATATATCACTGGGTGTAATCCAAGATTATACTGAGTATAATCCAGATTTCACTCAGTGATATCTTCAGGATTTTTTTCAATATTGTTAAATATTATTTAAAATTTTTTTTCACCACAGATATCACTGAGTACAATCTGGGATGATATCTAGTGTCATCTTGGAGGGACTAGTTTTTGAGCTAGGCTTAAAAAACTGTTTTGAAAGCGATAACTCGGAAATTTTTGGCTCTAATAAAATTTTCTAGAATTTTATTATTAAAATTTTGTTTAAAAAAAATGTTTTTCTTTTTAATAGTTACCGAGTAACAAGGATTAAAAGTTATGTATTTTTAAATAAGTGTAAATAATTATTTATAACGATTACTCGTAAGATAACGGATTTTTGAAATCAGTACAAATATCTAAATAAAATATCCGTTCCAGAAGAGAGGCGGCTTAAATTTTATTTTTGGCTTTTGAGAATTAGGTCTTGAAAAAGACTCGCTTTTTGTTACTAAGGCTCAAAAGTGCCAATTTTCAAATTTAAGTTTCTTTTTATCGTGTATATATTGGACTGACAATATTTGTAAGCCTCTCTTTTCTTTTTTTTTTTTTTTTTTGTATAAATTCCTTAAGTCTGATTATTGAGTTTAAATACTAGTTAATAATTATTTTTTTTTTGTAAATATTATTATCAGTTAAAATAGAGTATATTAAGTTGACGATTAATTGTTGCGTTTTTTTTTTTTTCCTTATCATTTGAATTATTATTTTTTCTTCCAGGAAAATTTTCTAGGAAATTTTTTTCCGGAGTTTCTTTTTTTTTTTAATTTAAGCTGTAGATTTTCTTGACAAAAAAAAATATCCCGAGGGATTTAAATCGCGTGCAATCGTGCGTTGGTCGAGTCGAGGGTTGACAAAAACCCCTTACACGTCATTGTATTCCAGTGGATTGTCAAAAAATAAAAAAACCGAATGAGAAATCAAGCGAAAATATTTTTTAGTTGAGCTGACAAAGGAGCCAAGTGACCTCCTACGTATGAAAAAGTAAATTTGCATGAGGACTGACATTGAATCCGAGTTTAATTGTAAGAACTCGGTCTTTTATATAAGTTAAAGCTAAAAGATTCTTCTTTAAAATCTATGAAGGTGCTAAAATTCGGGTTTGTTGCAAAAAAATAACGCCTTCAAATGCTAAAGATTCACTCGTGTGAACTTATTATATATTCATGAAGTTCTTTTTATATTTTAATTATTTTTTTGGTATAAAATTAATAAAACGTTACTGTGGGAATATTTTTTTAAATTATTTTATAACTCCGGAAAAATTTTCTAACCAAAAAAAAATCCTCGAAATATTTATCGGAGATTTTTTTTTTTCATAAAAAAAAAATTTTATGTAATTTTTTTTTTTCAAGTTGTTATTTGTTAAATGTAAAAAAGGTAATTGTATTCTTAAATTAGAGATTTTTTTTTTTTTAAATGAAAATTTATAAAAATCTCTAAAATTTTGATTTAATATTTAGTTATAATTATAATTGTTGTCAATTAGTGAGCAAAGTATAAAAAATAATTTAAAAAATATATATATTGAATATTGAAAATAAATATTGAAACGAGTACGCGGTACAAAAAAATAAATTTAAAATAATAATAAAAGTATACTAATATTGGAGGATTGAGCAGGAATTTTTCGGTTTTTTTTTTTTGGTAATTTAAAAGACAATCTAAGTTAAAAAATAGAAAAATTTATAAATCAATCCTTTAATAAATAAATAAATAAATAAACTGCCAACACTACCTCACTCACACGAAAAAAAAATATATCTCAACCACAAGACTGATATTATACACATAGTATTCCTATAAATAATAATAATAATAATAATAATAATGATAATGATAAATAATGACTATTGTAATAAATAATATAAGAAAAAAGAAATAGAAAAGAGTTAATTTTTGTAATGTTATTTAAATGAAAGAAAAAAGATAACTATGCCAGAGAATTGAGTGTTGTTTTTATTTACACTGCAACTGATCAATAAAACAGAAAGCGTATCTCGATATTTATCGTGTGAATTGTAAACGAATAAAATTAATAAATATTTATTGAAATATTAAGACAGAAAATATATCTATGATTACGATGTGTCAAAAAATATTTTTATTAATGCAAAAATATCTCAAAATTTTATTTAACATTAATGATAAATAAAATCAATTTTTCATTGTTTAAGTCTGACAATTTTTTTCCACCTGCCCTCCTTTAAATAAGTTAACTTCCTTGGATTTAAATCTTTGAGAAAATTATCGAGCTGTTTGACACTTGAGCAGTATAGATTAACTTTAAGAATAATAATTTGTTAACCCGCCAAAGACTTTTCTTGAGCGAACAATGTTACTTAGTTGACTCTCGGTTATCAGAGTCTCCAGCCGAACAAAGTTTCGCCCCGGATTCCCTGACAGGTCAACAGACACCGATAAAACTAATTCGGGAATTGGTTAGAGCTTCGACAGCTCTAAGGACAGTGCTCAACACTTTTAATTATAAATATCTGAGTTAAAGTCCCAGCAAAAGGACACCAACCATTTTGTTTTCAATAAATCTTTCAACAGCTCGACAAATTTATTTCTTCCAGGCTCAATGAACCTTTTGTTCGATATTTAACAAGACAACTGTCTTAAAGAGCAACAAATATATTTATCGGGTTTTTTTTTGTGGAACATGTTAAACGCCCGAGAACAAAACATTCTCAAGCTCCACCAACACTTTTTTAAACCTTCAAACAATTATTGTTGTTGGTTCGATCATTTTGTTCTATTGAGTATCTTTATTTTTTCTCGGCTCAGTAGCCAACTGTCCAAGGTCACCAAAATATTCGTCGGCTCGAGAAAAACATTCACCCGACAAACTTTTTCTCCGCTCAATTTATTTTTTTCCGACTTAATGTCTGCTATTAAATTTATCATTGTCTTCGGTACTGTTATTCTAGATCTTTATTATTGTTAAAACTAATGTAAATTCCTTTTAGCATTTTAAATTTGTCGGTACAACTGAAAACAATAAGTAAGATTTAAAAATCCATTTTTTGCAATATATTTAATTTCTTTACAACGAATATTTTGATAATTCCTAAAAATCGATTCCCAAAACATCTATTGAGGACTACCAAGCATTGAAGTGTTTGTCAATACTCGAGCGATCTTTCTTTATTCTTCTCCTCTTTCCCCAAATATTTTTTTAGTTACTCTACACTCACTACTCACTACACTAGTGTAGACGGTTTTTGTCCGCGAGCAACCAAAGTCTCGATTATTTTTTATCGAGTTCGAGCTGTTGAGCAGAAAGACCTGCATTCAGCTGTTGCTGGCCTATTCTACACAGTCACACACATAGAACAACATACTCTGTAAGCACACAAATAAAATTCATTGAAATTGTTTCCGAAATCTAGGATTCCACGCGGGTGCCACGTGCAGGGGTGGCTTTTTCGAGCGTGCGCTCTTCACATACACATTACATGTAACTACACGTATGTGAAATCCGAGAGAGGGGTGACACAGTGACATATTATATCTCCGTAATACTTTTTTAGGGCACGTGGCAGATGCAACCTCTTTATGCCGTTTAAATTAGAAAAATTTTCTTTTAGTTTTCTTGAAAAATTTTAGACATTAATTTTCATAAAATTTTTTTTCCTAAAAAATAAATATTGTTTAAAAGACACCTGTCGTGCGTGTAGCGATTTAGAGTTGAGATAGAAAGGTTAGTTTTTAGCGAAAAAAAATAAATTAAAAAATGAGAATAGACCAGCGAGTAGCGGCTTTGGCAAAAGTCGAATCGAATTCGCCATATGGTGATCCTAGACAGAACCAAAAAAAAAATAATAGCCTAGTCTGGTCTATTAGATCAAGGATTAAGGATATCCTTTAAATATCCTTCGTGGAACGTTGAGTAATTTATTATTGGCGCGTGCTGTGTAATTATAGGCCCCGACTTCCTAAAAAAGGTACAAATCGTTTCTAGTTCATTCAAAACTGTTTTTAATTTTACATCCACGGAAAAATTTAAGTTTTTAGAGTAAAAAGAGGTACTTTGTAGTAAAATCTGCAAGTTTTACACTTTATACTGTGATAATTGAGACTGTATCTTGTAATAATGCAATTACAATTTGAAATACCTAATTTTACAACTTTAAATGTATTTTTAGTTGGATGAAACTTTAAATTAGGAGTTATTTATTATTTTTAAACAGTTATTTATTGATAAATTAAAAGTTAATAAGTTAAACTTTCAAAATTCTCAATTTATCGGTGATGAATTGTTTTAGTTTTTATCAGAATAAATGTATTGTTAATTGTAAGAATAAGATTTAAAGTGTCAGCTACTAATTATCGATAATAATAAATATACTGTGAATTATAACAAGTGGACCTGTAATTCGATAAACTCTCAAGCTCAGTTATCCAAAAGTTAATAATTAATTATAAAAATAAAAGTGTGAGATATTTAATGTGACAAGGAAATTAAAAGGTTTGAACCTTTTACTATTATAAACTAAAAAGGGTTTTTAATTG